GACTTGGGAGAAGACGAAGGGTTCTGTGGAGCGCATCGTGCAGAGAGTGTCAACACCACAAGAGTCTGCACAGCTTGGAGAAAAAGACCAACACCACCAGGAAAGAGAGAAACTCAGCAGAACAAATGCATACATTTCATTGCAGAGGTCATGCTGATTCGGATATTGGCCCTAAAGAAAAAGCAATATTAAAAAAAATATATTAGCACTGAGCAACAGTGGGGCTAAGAAAGCTGTTGTCAGTGGTTTCAGCTGGAATTTCACTGAGATGTGTTTACTGCTTATTAAAAAAAACCAAAAACTAAAAAGAACAGGATGGAATCCTTCATCTTTATCTTTGCAAACTTTCATGTAAGTTAGCAAGAATAAAGAGAGTCCCATCCATTATTACTTAACGACCATGAATTCTGGAGTCAGATCTGGGACATCATGTCACTGACATTCACTAGAAGCCAAAGGTTTCTGATCTTTCAGGCAAAGCATTAGGAAAATTAAGAGGATCTGGGTTACAGATGAACAGACATAAATTTGAAATAAGAACAATGAATATAAAGGAGGCCTACAGAGAGGTCACAACAAGGTGGCAGCTCTGGGAGACTCACTGAATTATGAACATTGTGGCTCAGCTACTTGCCTGTAATAGAGTTTAGCATCCAAGGATCAAGGCAGGCCAAAAACAGAAGGAGACTTAATTAACAGAAAGGGGTTATTTTAAAAATGCCCATATGATGCTAAGTACAAAAATAAGCTGTTCAAAACATAAATGCTTTCCCCACTGCTCCCAACTATTACAGTATAACAAAATAGGAACTGCTGGTTTACAGATTTCAAGTTGTACCAAAAGTTGGATATCAGTTACTCAAACAGGGAAGGCGTCATTTGCTTTAATTTTGTAGTACAGCAAATTTTCTGGCTTTAGATAGAACTAGCTTTTTAATTTTTATTATTTTTTAATTTTTATTATGTTTTATTATTTTAATTAAAATGCATTTACTTCAGCATAAACAGATATGAAGCATTACTGATCACGACTGACTTGCCCAGTTAAGAAGACCAGATACAGAGTTTTCTTCATAGGCTGTGGCACAACCCCAGCTTCCCAGTCCCTCTCATCACAGAATTCCTCTGCACCATTTGCTGGTTCCCTGTGCGATGGAAAAAAAATATTTCAAAATTAAATCTAAATGCTACCAGGATCAGGCTTTCTCTTACCAAACACAACTGAGCAATGAAGTTCCACATATGCTGGAAACCTTGAAACTCCTTGGTGTAATAGACCATGACAGTTTCCTTATTGTTGTGAAAAGGGCATTAAACAATATAAGAGCAAGTACATTTAATATGGGTCTTCAAATGACTTAGTGATTTTAAAACGTGTCATTCAGCAATGCCTTCCAGACATCAACACTCAAAATAAAGTATGGTATAAGAACTGGATACATGACAAACCCATATCTTCATCTAAAACTCTGTAAGGGATGCTCCATGCTTTTCATGACAGTCAAGTGGTGGTGATTTGTATTATAAACATCCACATGTAAGTGGAAAAAAATGTCTCCAGAGATATCCAAATCCTCACAGATTGCTCTTTTGTTTTGCAAGCAGTAATTAAAGAGTCAGATGATCACATTTTAAATCCTTAGCATCTCTTCTGCTAGCCAAAAAATATTACCAATAAACTGCAGGTTACTGCAATTAACTGCAAGTTAATTGAGTCATTTATTCAACTAAAAAGATGAACATGTTGGGCTGACATATTTTGGAAAACCATTATCCTTCAGGTCAAATCATCAGATTCCTAGCAAAAATTTACCTGAGCTCCAGTTACCAGCTCTAAATGTTCAGCAACAGAAATCTGTTGAACCTTTGTCCTTCCAGCCATATATTGAAATGTGGCTCTGTAATGAAAATAAAGTGGACTGGGGATGGTTGAACCATGGCCTTCCAACTCCCAAGGGAATGTCCAGACCACTTATAAGACACCAATTTCTCCTTTAGTAATGCTTTCCATTTGCAAGTATTAGCAAATATTTCCTGAGACAGTGTGATAAAAATCACTTTCTTACCTAACAGATCACAACTGAACAGGCCTGGGATTCAGTGCCTGCTCCAGCATAAATGCCTATTACACAAATAAGCAGTCCTGGCATGTGTGACCAGGGACATCAATCATCATGGCATATCCCAATCCAGACAGCATCTACTTATAATATTCATAAAAAGGATTTGAAGCCTTTCAGGGCAAGAAGGAAACAAAATGGAACCTGCATCTGTCATAGATGTAAGAGGGTGTCTCAGCTCCTAAATTTTGGGGTATAAGGCTTCCTAGAAAATCATAGTCAAATTTCATCCAAAGAGCTTTCAGGTGATAAAAATCATGTATGGGGTTAAAGCACTGTCAATAAAAATTTGACCACTTATCCAATAAATTTTGTTTGCTTTCAACCACTACATCTTACAATATACTACTACTGTAAGAGCACTGAAATATTGATGATTTCAGGATCTGTCTGTCTCTGGCTTTGACTCAGAGCACTGCTAGTGTGGGACTGACTATGCAGGTCCTTCATTACTTCTCATTCCTCCCACGTAAATTTCTGATATTTATTCTAAGCAGTATATCATAAGACTTGGAAACGTGTTTACTATGAAATTAGGGGAAATGCCTGAATTCTAAAACTGTGTATTGTAAAACTACTGTATTACAAAACACAAGAAAAAACAAAGCACATAGAAAATGCCTTCAGAACAGATACATCAGCCACTCGAAGCTTGCAAATTTCTATATAACATAATGAACAAAGGCACCTCAAAGAACGGGAACCAAAATTATATTAAAAATCTGATGACTAGTTTTATAAAGATGTTAATATTTAACAGCAATAGAGTCTACCACATGTTTATAGACAAAGGGGGAAAAACATTCTGGAATAGTCCAATTTGGTTTGAAACTCTCTGGGGCAGTTCCTGCAGGATTTATTGACTGAGGCAGAGAAACTAGCCCATTAAAAAAGGCCAGAAGAAAACTTAGCAGCTGGGTATTGCTCAGTCTCAGGGCCCAAGCAGGGAGCTGTGGGAATGACTGAGCTCCCTCCTCTCTTCATTAACAAGGCACAAAGCTGGTTTGGAAAGGAGCCTAACTATCTGCATCGAGGTGACTGGTCTGAGCTGACAGGGAAGCCCCTGTGAGTAGCTGTATTTGAATTACTGAGACTCTTATGGGAAACAGTTCTGTCAGGGCAGAACAAACCTATGTGGACACAGGCAAAGATAAATGCATCCCCTGAAAACAGGAGAAAGCAAGGGTGCAAATGAAATGGAGATACATCTAAGGCTGGTGCCAGAAGCAGTTAGGGGCTTGGCTTTGGGGATGCATTTTTAGACAATACCCAATTATTTTTATAAAGGTGTGTGAATGAGAACCCACCTGCTTATTATCTCTTCATAGCACCAGAGAGCAATTTGAAATTCTTTCACAGGCTTTAAAATTACCAAATGCTCTTAGATGTGACCTGAGAAGAGAGTCAGCAAGACTGTGTTAAATTTCAATTATGAATTGTCTAAGTTGAGATCAAAATGGGTAGTCAAGGTTAACTTCTACATCTACACTAAAGTGGATTTAGAATGTAGCCTAAATTGTCCAAAGTGAGTGGTCCCATGTCCAAATATGGACCTTGTTCTTTTGGTGTTTGTTTTGGAAGAAAAGCTGAGTGGATGTAGTTTAGACAGACAATATAGGAGTAAATCTTCAGGGACAAGTGCTGGAGGAGAAGAAGAAATTTATGTGCAAATTCACTCAGGAAAACATCCTTATTTCATGAAACATACAGAAAGGGCAGTTAGAATGACTGATATGCCTGGGAGCTTTGCTTTCACCTTCCTTACATCAAGCAGCTAAGCAAAGTATGGTAGAACTCAATAAATTTTTTTGCTAGAGTTCACCATCTCGCTTCTGAACTTTGTTTTCCTAATTACTATTCATGAAAAAAAAATACAAAAAACAAGCCAAATCCACACTAAGATCTAAAGCTCTTAATTCTCTCAAGTATATTTGTAACAAATGGGTGCTTTTAGCAGCCATCAGACAGCATTGTGAATTTCAAACAGGAAAACCCATATCTGATGGATTTCATCTACCCAGCTGAAAAATGTTAAGCACTCACTGCCCACGAACATGGGATTTTAATCTCACTGAAATATATGAGGCATGCAGCAGGAGAACATACCGTAGTTTCAGCATGTATTGCTGAGCACACACTTGCACTGACCTCTGGGGAAGGACTGTGTGTGGTCAGTGCAGCAGTGGGAATGACCATCCAGGTCTCATTTTCCTGAGCATTGCACTGTACTGTATGTGTATCTGAAATCTAAGATGATTGGTTGGGTTCATGTTGTAATTAAAAATAAATGTCTACACAATCAATTAATTGTGGAATCTAAATTAAATGTTGGCTTAGATCTCTGCTTATGAACACAGGTTTTTAGTAAAGCTCCCAAATACATTTTTGTGGAGACCTTTACAAACCTTCTTTTAGGTTTGATTACAATTCTGTGTGCTGTTATATGTGCGTGTGTACACACATATCTGTATAATGTGCACAGTTATTTATCTAATTAACATCCACAGTTCTGAGTCATCAATTAACTTTTTCTAAGGACTAAAAGGACAGCAACCCATACTGATTTTCCAACCAATCAAAAAAAGACAAATCACTCTTCAGGCAAATCAGGAGTCTTGACTTAAGCTTACCTGTACTTGGATCTTTGCCAATCTTTTAAAATCACCTTGTAAGAAATATCCCAAAAGTCTACAGAAATGTCTCTGAGCTTTAGATACAGTATCTGACATTAAACGGTAATGTTATTTAATTACAAAATTAACTCTGAACGTTTTGGTGGGGAAAAACTGGAAAGTTTAGCTCTTTGCAGGTAGTATTCAAATTCAAAGCTTGTGGGTGGAGTTGGGGTGTGAAGGTGCATAAATAGGCAGTAGGAACAGCAGCATTCACGCTGAAACCAGGAACACCTTCGCATCCTGGCAGGCGACTGAGAGAGTAAACAAGGTAAGGCACTGCACACTCCCTGCTTCAGCAGGTACCCGGGAGAGCTGAGCCTGAGCTAGCTGGGGATGGGGAAATCTGAGCAGTGGAAAGACTGCAGCAAAGCAGGCACAGTCTAGCACAGTTTGTTATGAAGGAAAATGTCTGGAGAAATATTGGCTTTGCAGGTTTAAAAAAAAGAAAATAAAAAAAGGAGAGGGGTTGTTTTGGAAAGCTTTCCAAAAGTGCACAGTCTTCCAGAAGCAAAGCTTTTAAGGAGCAGGTTTTTTTCTGTCTTTACATTCTGCATGCTGCCTCTACAATAGCCTAAAATGTGCCTGATCTTCGATTTCCTGGTTGTCCAATACTTTTTATTTATTTTCTTTCTAAGGAAGCATTACGTCTGCCATACAGCTCTAGCCAAAACAATTCTTGAGGCAACCCTGACAATCCAGAGTTTAACTGAACTTCATGCAATTTCTTCCTTGCCAAGGAGACTTTTCTTGGGGCAGAAAAAGCAGTCTGCTGTAAAAGTTGTATTTCATACCTTTGAAGCAGGCTCTCTCTGGATATTTGAGCTCTATTGGACATTCCACTAGCAAAGAGCATTGTATCACTCGTGGAAACTCAGCTTGTGTCTCCTCCTGCAGTTCCTACCTGGAAAAACATTTCTGTTTTCCTGGAGTCCAGTTTTCATCGTCTGAACTTTAAAAATAGTCAGCCTCCTGTAGTGAGGGGTTTTTTTGTAGGCTTCTTTTTCCTTTTTTCTTTTTCACATGAATCTTTTCAATGTTCTGCACTGCTTTTGGGATATCTTAAATTTTCTCTTTGTACCCATTATATTGATTCTAGTTTCTAGGAGGAAATGTAATTAGAAAACTTAGGGTTATGTTGCTGAAATGATTTCCCCCTTCAGGGAAACATCCTAGCTGAAATGCTGAGCTTTCCATCAGATTTGTCTCATCTCCATGCCCCAGTCTGGCTCAGGAAAAGCTCTCTGCTTTGTGCTGCTTTCACCTTCAAACTCCATTTCAGTTCTCACTGGGCCACACAACCACTCCTCCCAACTCTTTTTGTTATACATTCTGCTGGGTTTAAGGATTAGATTATATTTTTAAGGGAAAAATCAGGATTGGAAGCTTCAACAACACCATTAAGCTGTGTCTATGCTAATGTTCATTGTAAAGCCTAGGTTAAACATTCTGACTTCTCATTTGAGTTATTCTCACAGCAAAATAGGGGAAGAGCTGAGACAAATTAATTTTCAGCACCTACAGCTGGGTTAGTCCAGCACTGGGAGATCTGTGGTAGAACTGTGAATTTATTAGGACTTGCAAGGATTTGGGGCATTGCTGTAACACAGTTATTTTCCTGAGCATATTGAATATACGTAGAAAGAAGAAGCTAACAAGCACACACATAAAAAGGCCATAGCCCGATGGCATGGCCAGCGGGGTAGGAAGCAGCCGGGTCCTTCAGGGCGCTGTGCTGAGCAAACCTGATTCTTCCGTGCCCTCGGGCCCCTGCCTGGAGCTGCTCCTTTCAGCCCTGACTCGCCCCGCTGCATGTCTGTGACTTGAGCTTTACCTGTCCTGTCCTCATTGCTGCGTGCCTCGCCGCCAGCAGCATCTGGGAGGCACCGCCACCACCTGGATTTTCTCTCACCTGTTCCAGGAGCAGCCATGGAGAAGAGTTACCTGTCCTTGTTCCTGCTGCTCATTGCCATCTCCTGTGCTCTGGCAAAGGATGCGGGCAAGAAGGATTCAAAGGACACTACGGCTAAGCCAAAACTGCCTCAGACACTCTCCAGAGGTAAAAAAACAAACAACTGAAAAAAAAAACCCTCCGCCAATTTTTTTTTAAAGTGCAATTTTGTGGCTATTTCAGCTACTATGCTGTTCTAAAAAATTAATTCTCTTGCAACTCATTCTGCCAGACCTTTCCTAGTATTTCCTAGCCCCTCTACTCCTTCATTCCCGATTTAAAGCCCTCTGGCAGCGGGTCTGTCCCGAGCCGCTCCCGGCAGAGGTGGGCAGGGCTCGCACCTGGGGTCCCGGCCCCGCTGGTAAGGCGCTGTCTGAGGGTGTGTGTTTGTCCCCTGTCCCTCCGCAGGCTGGGGAGACCAGCTCATCTGGACTCAGACCTACGAGGAGGCGCTTTTCCGAGCCAAGCACAGGTACCTGCCCCGCCGCGCCCTAACCACGGCTCTTCTTTTCCAGCCAGAAACCCCTGATGATTATCCACCACTTGGAAGACTGCCCACACAGCCAAGGTAATCCTTCTGCACTCGAGAGGGGGGGAAAAAAAAATAGTGTTTTAATTTTCTGGGAAAACGCTGCTTAAAAAAAAACAACAAAAATTAGGCACCGTTCTGCTTAAACGTTAGTGAAGTACTAGCTTGTAGCACTAGCTTGCACAAGCATGGGGAGTGTTCTTCAAGTTACTGTACCACGAAGGTGCTTTCCAATGTATAGAAATAAAATAAAAATGGTAATTCAGTATTGCATGATACAAAATGAATACAGGAATGAGCACAGTTCAGTAGGGTTCGACCTCTGACAAATCTGAATTTGATTCACAGCACAATAGGCCAAAATCAATAGCAAGACCAGTAGCAAGAAATAACAATTTGTTGGAGAGACCATATTCAGCTCTTGATATCATCAGTGATTGAGACTGAATCCAGCCAGGGACTAAACGAATCCAGGCCAAAACTGAGCTCTTCCAGTTACCAGATTTCTGGTAACTGGGATTGCTCTTTTCCCAGTGTTTTTGAATTTATCTGAGGGCCCTCCTTCCTGCAAGTCAATCCACATGGCAAGATCTTTGCATCCATCCATAGCTCCAGCAACTCCAGAAGGGTCTTTGGACAAGCATTTAAATGCTTCCAAACATTTTAGTCTGAAGCCCTATATGCTGCATTATCAAGTGCCTTAAGGTCTAGTAGAACAGGAGGTTTGAAGGGTCAAATGCTCAAATTCAAACCTAAGCAGACAAATTTGAGAGCCAGCTGTACTCTCTGAAGGAAGATGGGACATTTCACACGGTTGTAATTACTCTTTAATGCAGAATATAAATGAATGGATCATGTTCTAATGGAATGAACTGAAAATTTTTGTTTGCTGCACTTGTAAGCTGGAAATTCTCATTTTGTTTCATCAGTTTGTTTGAATTTCTTTCTGGAGGACAATATATCTCAAGGGCATCTTTTTTTATTTTCTTTCCTATTTGTTTCTACTTTAGCCCTCAAGAAGGTCTTTGCTGAACACAAAGATATACAGAAACTGGCTGAAAAATTCATTCTCCTGAACCTTGTGGTAAGTTCCCCAGTTACACTTAATTAAGTGAAAGTGACAAAGTTCTGCTTTTCATTATGGCTTCTCTAACTTGAGTTTAATAGCTAGAGTTGGCTAGAAAACTGGCCACTGCTGAAGCATAAGAGATTTCATAGTAAGTCTTTTTCATTTGTAGCTATCATAAACTCAGAATGTGAGGGAATGTAAAGTTTAATAACAATATGTACTTTTACTACTTTGCAATTCCAGCTGTTAAAAAACTGCATCACAAACAGTGAATCTCTTAAACTGCAAAATGTATTATTTGAGCTGTATTTCATAATACAAAGTACACTGAAGGAATAAAATTATTATGTAACATGCCCTCCTTGACTAGGAACCTTCTCTGTTTTCTTTAAGTATGAAACCACAGACAAGAATCTTGCCCCTGATGGCCAGTACGTCCCTCGGGTTTTGTTCATAGGTGAGTACCTCAAGCGCCAAAGCTGATCTCAGCACAGAGCTCCTGCTGCACCATGCATCTCAAATCCCCAGGCTGATTAACAAGAATTTATTTCATGAGAAATATAAAAGTTCAAGTTGGTTTTGTGCATTAATACCACCCAGCTTCACAGGTCCAGCATTCCTCCCTCAATGGCTGATGCCACAGTCACTGGAGTGGGTAGCTCATCCCATTCCTAATAATCCTATAAACAAAATACTTAAAACTGAAATGTCAGAAACCCTGTTAGAAAAATCTCTTAGCGGAAGCAGACATGTTACACAGACACATTTAGGAAGCAAGCAGGAGTGCAGAAATATTTATTTCCTTTTATTTCCTTCTGCTTGAAGGTTAACATCTACAAATTCTCTCACCCTTTTTTCCCAGATCCTTCCCTGACTGTGAGAGCGGATATTACTGGAAGATACTCAAACCGTCTCTACGCATATGAGCCCTCTGACATTTCATTGTGTAAGTAGAGTGTTCTGACACATTCTGGAAATATTCTGAAAGCAGTCACATTTTTCATGTGACAAGGAATAACACCAGGCACTACAGATTCTCACCACCAGTACTTGCTGAAAGACATTTAACTGGGATTAAAATTATACAGGATGCTAGACTTAAACTCAGTGAGATGAAGAAAATGATGGCAGAGCCCTGGAGCTTTAAGCATCCATCTGTTTTAAAAGCAAGCATACATCAGTAGGAACTTGCATAATTCAGCAGCGTTCACTGCAAGCAACGGTGAGAATTCACACACAAGTCCCAACAGGCCAGGTGAGGAAACCTTCTTGGAGCAGGGAAAGATGTTTGCTACAGCCATCCCTCACTGCTGCACAGCTCCAGTCTCTGCCCCTGTGTTGACATTAATGAATGTTCTCACTAGTAAAAATTAAACCCATGATGTTCACAAATTGCTCGGAAGAGTAAGTGCATCTGAATCCCTATAGCAATAGGCACATGATTAAAAGCTTTAATAATGATGACATTTTCTCTGCAGCATATTTGGTTGCTGGCAGAGGAAGTTGCAGCAAAAATAACATGCATGAATATTTCATTTCTAGTGTACTCAAATATGCAGAAAGCGCTGAAGCTCCTGAAGACTGAACTGTAAGAGGAAGAAGAAAGCCCTTAAATATTCTGGAGTCTTATCTTCGATCTCTTCTCCACACCTTGATACTGGTGAAGAGACTATTTAGAGTGATATTTAGTGATGTGTAGTGATGGTTTCTATACATAAACGCTACCGTTTTACATTAGCACTTTTGTACTGGGAAGCATTTTTAAAAGCTGGAGGCTTTTATTTTAAGGCGTACAGAAGAATACTGTATGATTCAACTGTAAAAATGATTTTTTTAAAAATAAATTCATTTCAAGTGTTTACATACAAAACATTGCTGTGTTTTCAATTGTTTTCTCTTCTCTTCATTAACCATTATTAGAAATAGTAAAATCACCATGTTGCTTGAGAGCACAGCTTACATTTTACATTCAATTGGGAAGGAAAAAGGCTGTCATAGATCAATCCCAGCCAGCAGCCCATCCTCACACAGCCACTTGCTCTCGCACTCCACTCCAGTGAGAAAGGAGAGAGAACCAGATTTAAAGTTATAAAACTTAAGGGTTCAGATAAAGACAGTTTAATAGGTAAAGTAGAACCTGTATGCACAAGCAGAGCAAAATGCTCTGGATTAATTCACTGCTTCCCACAGGAAGGCAGGTGTTCAGCCACCTCCAGGAGAGCAGGGCCCCACCAAATGTAATGGTGACTTGGGAAGACAAACACCATCACTCTAAATGTGTCCCCCTTCCTGCTTCTTCCCCCAGTTTGTATGATGACCATGGCATATCCCCTCATTCAGCTGGAGTCAGCTGTCTCAGCTCTGTCCCCTCCCAACTTCTCTGCAGCCCAGGGCTACTTGCTGGCAGGGCAGTGTGAGGGAGCAGCAGACCTCGACTCTGTATCAGCAATCACAGAAAACAACCTTGTGTTATCAGCACCGTTGTGGCTGCAAATCCAAAGCACAGCACCACACAAGCTACTGTGAAGAGGATCAACTTAACTCAGCAGAGGAAAGCAGCTTTTTATTTCCAGTTTCAGCAGCTAGTTAAGCTATTACTCAGGCTACTTTATCTCCAATTATTTTCTATTAGCCCCAACCCATGTGGAGCTTTCATTATCAGCCCTTTCTTCACAGCTAAGATAGCAAGAAGTCAAAATCTTTCACAGAAAAGTACTTGAGACTGGAAAATGGGATTGTTTGCATACAGAGCTTGTTTTTCTTTTGAACTGGCTGCATTCTGAAGTGATTTAGGATGTAACTACTTCCCTTAAAAGGTCCTTGCTTACATCAGATTTCAGTAAAGGCCTGAGGTGATTAATAAAGGGATACCACATTTACTATGTGGCTGGTTTTATGACTGTTTATTTTTAAGTCTAAAAGGGACAAGAGAAGTCAAAACTAAAATAAATGCTGCAGATGAACACCATGAAAGTACATTACATAAAGACATAGGCAAAAAGGAGACTTTCCAGCCCCAAATATCTGCTATCTCTGAACTCAACAGCAGCATCAGTTAGAAACACTTTGGCCATGGCCATGCCTTCATTATTTTCTCAACTCCTTGGCAATAGCAGCATTCTTAACACTTCTATTACCATTACTGCCACTACCAGTCATGGTGAGAACTGCAAGAGGAAACCGCTTGGGAGGGTAGGACAGGTGAGAGAAGCAAGGGTTTCAGCTCAAGGGAATCTCTCAGCAAAATCAGAAGGGAGCTACTTGCTAATAGGTCTTTGGCAAGCTGTGCAAACCCTGCCTACCAGAAAACCTCAAGAGGTATCTGGAAAGGGTCCCAGACATGGAATTAAGCATTCCTTCAGCACTTCAGTAAGATGTTACTTTCTATTGCAGCATCCAGAAGAGAGAGGAAAAAGAGATGCAGTGGGGGGCATAAAGTCTCTAGAATCATATATTAGTAAGAAAAAGCAGAAAAAAGTGGTCGTATCACTTCGCAGAGGGACAGCACAGAGGGAGGCCAGAGCAGCTGGTTATCAGAATCATCTTTACCTACTCAGCCCAAAGTACACTTGCTAGAGCTATGTGACATAAAACAAAGGCTGTCTGTGCCATTGTGTTTTACAAAGCTGTTTTTATAACACTATGGGAAGTAGCATAATTTCCTTAAGCAGAGGTACTGATGCTATGTATAATATCCAGTAAATGGATGACTACAAGGGTCTACTAAGGTAGATGCCTAGATGCAAATGCATAAGTTACTACTGCCTGCAAGTATCAAGAAATGTTTCTGAAACTGAAATTTTTGATACATAAGTGGTCAACTTAATTCTGCTCTTTTAATCCTTTCCTATAAATACAGATGGTTTTTTTAGGCTTACAGAGGCATCAAGCCAAGCTGAGATACTTAAAAAAACCTCTTTCCCTTTGGAAAACCTGGGAAATCATTGCTAACATACATATGATCATTTAATAACCCAAAGTACAGAGGATGTACATGGGGGTTTTAAGAATTCCACTAGCATTCAATCTTCTAATTAATTAGGTCTAAAATAATAATGCAAGTTAAGAACACTAACACAATCGATTCACTTGTCAGCTATAGCTTTTAAGATACGTTTTTACAGATATCACTTCAAGGTATACAAGCTTTCCCTTTTGTAATAGTTACTTTCATGCAAAAGGTGGCAGACGCTGTGCAGTAGTATCAGGATGTTAGTCCATATCTGGATTCACTTCCTCAAACAGATAGAGAAGAATCAGATTGTTTTATACCCAATTATTTTTATATGACAAAAATGTGTGTGCATTTTGAAAGAAGACATCTTTCTACATTTTTCCAGAATAACCAACTTGAAGAAAGCATTTCAACAAACTAAGGCCAGAAGACATCTAATGTAAGCAGTAGGAATGCTCCAAGTTAAATAATCCCATTACATTGACACTGTGCTGCTATAAATAGCTTCTAGAAAATCTGGTGACAATGAAATCCAAATCTCAAGCAGTCAGGTGAAAATTAAAATGCATCTCTAGAAAACAACAACAAAAAATCTTTGTGTGGTGAAAAAGTTTTTCAACAAGAAAATGCAACAAAGATAAACCCCATCAAGAACAGGCATAAATAACTTTTTAAAGTATTCTAGTTTGGCATGTCAGAATAGTATGGCATTTCTTATATACTCACACAAGTCAGACAGACAACACTCTTCGCCTTCCAAAAAAACAAAGACTCATTGTGTTTTACTGTCCCCTTCAGAACCTGGTTTGGAAAGCAAATCCACACCTCTGATTGGCAATTTCAACGTTTGTGTAAGTGGATGGGTTTGTTTAACCACAATCCCATCGAGACAATATATTCTTAATACGATAGAAAAACTTTAATCATTCCATACAATCCACTGATCTTTTGACTACTAAAACAAATTCACATTATGCGACATGAGAGTTTTGGAAGTGGTAATATTTTCAGTGTTTTTGCATCGGTGCACCTTTACACTCCAGTATCATCTACCATATTTATGAAACCAGATCCACCCAAAACTAAGCACTATAAAAACAATCAGGAAAAAAAAAATCGAAATTGAAACAGCAATGTGGTATTATTTTAAGCTTCATTAACCCTCTCCATATGACAACTCCTTGAATTTATTACTGTAAACACAGAGCCTGTCTAAATCAAGAAAATGAATTGTTCCTAAAGGTGGCCATGAGATCAACTACTGTCCTCTTAACACCTATGAGAAATGGCTAGAGAGCAACTGGGAGAAACAAAACAGCAACTGGGAGAAGAAAAGCACTGTGTACATTTTATTGGACTGCAGCAGGCACAACAGCAGCTCCCAGAGCAGCTCCAAGAGAAGATGCTGATCACAGATGCTGAAAACTCAGCTACAGCTGAAGGGAAGCAGTTCTATAGCAAGTTCTTGACATAGCTCTGCTTTCAGATTCTGCTCTTCCCCTTCAAAATCTCAAGATAATTTCTTCTTTAGGAGCACTCAGCCCATGAAAGTCTGAATGTGCTTAGACGGGCATATGTGTCAACTTCTTTTTGCCTCCTCTGCAAGTGTAAGGAGTGATCTCTCTAGTAAAGGGCGACTGTATGAGAATCTACTTCTGTCTGCCTCCAGACTTCCTTTCCACCTTGCTCAGGTGTTGTATTCGTCAGCAGAGGGTCTTAATATTCTTCCCCTTGTCTTCCTGTAGACTTGTCTTTCAGGCTACAGCAACTGCCTACCCTGCCAGCAGCAGCGAGTGAAGAATGAATGAAGAAAAGATGCAGTGCAGATCTTCAATTCAGTATGATTAGAAACAAATGGAACAGTGTGCACCTTGGGTGTTTAGATGTCAGCTGTTTCAGCTGATGCACCACTTATTTTAAAGTAAGAGGGCAGCAAGAGGGACCATGTTTTCCTTCAGCTCAGACAATACTTTCTACATGGATAATGTACCATTCTAACTTGAATTCTTTGTTTTCAGAAAACAAACTACTGGAAACCATTTTTTGTTGCTGTTTTTCTTTCTTTTTTTTACACATCATTCAATCTCTCATGAAATCAAGACTGTTATCTGGATGACACAGAAATATACACTGCTGAGTTATTACAACAATGACTTTACACCATCTAAAAAAAATAGCTGCACAACAACTTTCCAGACATCAAGTTTCTTACATCAGAGATGACAGACACTGATTGTGCAAATACCAAACCTCATTCGCTTGTCAAGGGAAAAAAGTTTCAAGTTAATCAGCTGCAGATTACATTCTCCTGGTTTTCTTCATTCATTGTTCTCATAATGACAGTATTCATTAACATTGTTTTTATTCTCAACAAAATTCTAAAGCTACAAGAAAACCAAAACAAACAGGGAAGGGGAGGGGTGAAGACTACAGTAGTCATTAACATACACTTATGTGCACTATAGAAAATAACATCTCTAGCTTCTATTTTTATTTTAACAGGAAAGTGGGAGACAAAATAGTTTACTAGAGTACATCCTAAAACCTAAGTAAATCATACCCAACCATCCACCATAAATTTTTATCATTTTAATGAGAATTCATGTGAATTTTTGTAATCCATGAATACAGCAGAAAATACCTCTGGTTTTTTTGTTTTTTTCTTTACACCAGATAATCCAGTAGTGCTATAAAACCCATTGTACAGAGTTCACCATATCAATTAATAAAGTCTTAACCAGCAGTTCAACTTTGCCCAGCTACTGAATGCACCCATCTACTTTAAGATAGAGATTCTTAGAAGAAAAATAGTAAAAATTAAATATGAAAACTACACATTTCTTATAGAACTTGAGTTTTATTTTGGGTAGACGTAGAATACCTATTATGAAGAAATACCAAACTATGGAGAATCA